AGTAAAAGCCTTAGCCTAAAAAGCTATCTTTAACAGATCCCTAAAATATTGGGGTATTTTGTATTATGTATTAGGATCAGGGGTGGGTTTCAGGCGGTTCGCGGCGGTCCCCACGATCCGGTTGGTCGGCAAACCTGGAAGTAAGTAACTTCCGGGAACGCTGAAGGGTCCACCCGCCTACCCGCGTTTCTTACCCGGTTTTGACGAGTTCTGCGCTTCCACACATACGCAGGATGCATAAAGTGCCTGCACGATCCTCCAGGAGCAGCTGGAGCATCTCACAGGCGCTAGTACGCATGCGTGCACTGCGCGCGTGCACGAGGACGCCGCCGGCCCCATTCCAACCAAACCGGTTGGAACGGGGCGAGAAACCCACCCCTGATTAGGATGTACTGAGACCAGAGGCCATGCAAGCTGAACACTATCCTAGATTAATTTGGATTTCATGGATAGCGAGGGGAAAGTAAAACAATTGCAGATTGGATTTAAAGCACTTTGGAAACAAGTGGCAGATGAAACAGATGTGGAATGCCCAAGCTCATGACTTAAAAATTCAAAAATATTGAATCATATATAATAGAAGGCCCATATTAGATAAGCTACAGCTCTGTAGATGATGTTATATCTGGGCAACTTTCATCTAAGAGAATGAACCAAGTAATTTAAAAATAAACCTCAGACAAATCCTATTTTCAGTTGTTAGGTAAAGGTAAAGTTTCCCCTCGCACACATGTGCTAGTCGTTCCCGACTCTAGGGGGTGGTGCTCATGTCCGTTTCAAAGCTGAAGAGCCAGCGCTGTCCAAAGACGTCTCCGTGGTCATGTGGCTGGCATGACTTAATGACGAAGGCTCACGGAACGCTGTTACCTTCCCCGCAAAGGTGGTCCCTATTTTTCTACTTGCATTTTACATGTTTTCGAGCTGCTAGGTTGGCAGAAGCTGGGACAAGTAACGGAGCTCACTCCGTTACATGGCACTAGGGTTTTGAACCGCCGAACCACCAACCTTTCTGATCGACAAGCTCAGCGTCTTAGCCACTAAGCCAATGCATACCTATTGTTAATTGAATACAATAAAGTGCTTAAGATCTTTTCCCATGTCAGGGTAATTTGTCCTGCATAGATAACTTTTGAAACCCAAACCAAGCTGACGTTTTCTATTATATTTCTATTGTATTTATTTCCCTTTTTGCATTAGTATTTTTTTCTACTTTTGTAAGTCTGGTTAAGATAATTGTTTTAAAAAACTGTTCCATGTGTATTGACCTTATGATTTTCTAGGTAGAGCCTGGCACTGTCTGTGCTGTTTTTGGCTTGGGTGGAGTTGGTCTCTCGGTGGTCATGGGCTGTAAAGCAGCTGGAGCTTCCCGAATCATTGGAGTTGACATCAACAAGGATAAATTTGCTAAGGCTAAAGAAATGGGAGCCACTGAATGTATCAACCCCCTGGATTTCAAGAAGCCCGTCAATGAAGTGCTCTTTGACTTGACTGGGGGTAAAGGAGTAGACTATTCTTTTGAAGTCATTGGACGCACTGAAACCATGGTAGGTGAAAATTGTCATAACAAATGATTCCAATGACATAAAAGTAAAATAGCAATAGCAGTTAGGCTTATATATCGCTTCATAGGGCTTTCAGCCCTCTCTAAGCGGTTTACAGAGTCAGCATATCGCCCCCAACAATCTGGGTCCTCATTTCACCCACCTTGGAAGGATGGAAGGCTGAGTCAACCTTGAGCCGGTGAGATTTGAACCGCTGAACTGCAGATAACAGTCAGTTGAAGTGGCCTGCAGTACTGCACCCTAACCACTGCGCCACCTCAGCTCTTCATAGCCCATTGGGTAGTCATGTTGGGTGTGAAACGTCTTAAGACAGAGTTTGGGTGTAGCAATGTAAAGCCTCATATGTGTAATGCTTTCTGTAAATTGTGGTAGACCATTTTTTTCCTAATGTTGCATAGTGATTACAAGATCGAGTAAATGAACTTGGGCCAATCCCAATAAATTACCAAAGGATATTGCAAAGTTCATGTTAGATTGAAGGTTGTGGGGGGACAATCATATGTATTACCTTGAATTATCCGAAGGAACACACTGTCAAAATTCAATAAGGTATATCGCTGCTATGTATTCCCACCACATATAGCAACAAACAATTGCTAGTTCTGGCATCCTACAACTAACATTGTGTATGTGTTCCAGCCAGAACCTGACCAAAGCAACCAGTATGGCTCTAGATCAGGGGTGTCAAACTCAATTTTATTGAGGGCTGCATCAGGGTTGTGTTTGACCTGGGGAGCTGGAATAGACATGGCCAGCTCAACGTCACTCATGTTGGGGGCGCTTGTTGTGGCCCAAGCGCTCTGCCAGCAAAAACAGGCTCCCAAGTTCCATTTTCAGTTGTGATGGCCTCCTGCAACCTTCTGCCAGCAAAAATGGAGCTTGGGAGCCTGTTTCCCAAGCTCTGTTTTCACTGGCAGAGGCACCATGGGCCGGCACTTTGCTGTTTCCAGGGCAGCCCCATGGCCAGATCTAAGAACCCTGCGGGCCGGATCTGGCCCTGGGCCTTGAGTTTGACACCTCTGCTCTAGAACTATTACCTCCCCCATACAGCAGAAGTAGTTTGAGGGGAAAGGATTGTTCACACCAGTATCTCCAATAGCACCTCAGGTGTTCTTAGAAGGCTCATTCAGTCAGCACCTTCTCTGTAAAAGTGCCTCTCTTCTGGGAAGCATCAACCATGGCATCTTTTAGGTGCGCTGTAAAAGGCTGTCGTTATGCTTAGATTCTTTTTCTTCCTATCAAATGTGTCTGATCCAGTGGTGGGTTCCTGATCCCATTCCAGCCAGTACGGTTGGAACAGGCCAGGCATCACCCACATGGATGCGCAGCACACGCATGCGTTGTAGCTGCAAACGACACTTGTGCAAGTCTCCGCGATGCTCCAGCTGCTCGGCGGAGCATCGTGCAGACACTGTATGCACCATGCGCATGCACAAAAGCACTGAAAGCTTTAAAACATGGTAAGGCACTCAGGTGGGCGGGCCCTCCGGAGCACCATACCAGAATGGTATCCAGTGCTCCGGGCAGGTTCCAGTATGCCTGTACTGGGGTGTACTGCCTGCAACCCACCACTGGTTTGATCCTTGAAGATTGCCTGGCCACTTCCCTGCAGTTTTCGTGACAAGTTTTTCAGAAGTGGTTTGCCATTGCCTGCTTCCTAGGGGTGAGAGAGAGTGAGTGGCCCAAGGTCACCCAGCTGGTTTTGTGCCGAAGATAGGACTAAAACTCACACTCTCCTGGTTTCTAAAGCCTTGAGCACTACACCAAATTGGCTCTCACATGTGAAGTACCACAAATGAAAAGGAAGTAAACGAGAGTGTAATTGCCTACAAGTAATTTCTCTATCCTTCATTTAGTTGTAACCTGTATAAAAAGTGGAGGATGTTGAAGAACAATTATAAATGTAAAAATATGAATGAATAGATAAAAATGTGTATCTTTTGTTTGTTTGTTTGCTCTCAGATATCTGCCTTCGCTTCCTGCCATCAGAATTTGGGGACCAGCGTCGTTGTGGGGGTTCCCCCAAATGCATCTATGATCACTTTTAATCCACTGATGCTTTTCACTGGCCGCACCTGGAAAGGATGTGTCTTTGGAGGTACGGTAAAAAGTGTGAAGAACAAATGTAAAAAAAAATTATCTCCCATTACACAATTTATCGTATGAGGACATTCCCCCATGACAATTCAAGACTTAGTTATTTTCATTGTGCATTTGGGAATATGAATGATTTCTGTGGATATATTTCCAGACAATAATATGTAACTCAAATTCAGGGAACTATAGATATTTATTTATTTGGACTTTGGTGTTACTGAATTCCAAACCAATTGTGAGCAGACCGACACATAAAAGGCAACACAAAGTAAGTGAAATATGAATTATAAAACAGGTGAAAGATGGGAAATAGAAAAGTAACATCTTTGAACATCACAGTGATATGGGGTGGGGGAGTTAAAACAGAGAGAGAAAGAACAAGAGGGAGGTTTAGAAACTAAAAGGCGGTAGTAAAAGGTATGTGTAAACAGTATAAAATAATGAAAATCAAATGTAATAACTATGAGTAATAATATTATGCCTATTTGTATTGAAATGTATGATACCCAGATATCCCACCATTCATGCATTGATATGTATAAATAGTATAAAATAAAAAAAACTTGATGGGGAAAAAAAGTAACACAAAGCAGGAACAAAATGGAACTGATTCACACAATACAAAAACTTGCAAAAGATTGTCAGATATCAAAGTTATTAAAATAATCCATCTCATTACTGATTGAAGTTTTTTTTAATAGTTTAGCATATGGGCTGAATAAGCAAGGCATGGCTTAAACAAATTGGCATTTGCCAATTTACAAGCAGACCCCCAAAATGATGGTCTCATCCCCCCCAAGTCCACAAAAATAATAAATTGTAAAGGTTTTCTGCCATTTAGAAACTAGAAACACAAAAAAATTGCTATACAATCAGACATTAGGGAGTTAAAACAGCTATTGAATAAATTCTGAGAGGGCTTAATGTAATTACAAAAAAAACCAAGGAAAGTCTTACCAAGGTGGAGAGCAGTGGGGGAGAAAATCCTAGGCCCCAATTAAGTTTATGAGGTATTCCACCTACTTTGAATCATCACTCTAGCCACAGTGCGGCACCTGGCGGTAAAGGGTTGCCAGTCTCTCACTTGGTGTGATGTCTAAGCCCAGGGATGTCCAAACTTGGGAACTTTAAGACTTGTGGACTTCAACTCCCAGAATTACCCACCCAGCCATGTTGGCTGGGGAATTTTGGGAGTTGAAGTCCACAAGTCTTAAAGTTCCCAAGTTTGGACACCCTAAGCCCAATCACATTACTGAAATGTAAAGCAAAGTGTTATTCTAATTTTCTCCCTCCGGTTACTACCGGTATCTTCCCTTCCAAAGTAAAAGCCTCTTTCCATGACAACAAAAACTACAACCTATGAAGAAGTGACTTAGGATGGATCCCATTTTGCATCAGTTTATAAATCTGCAGAGAGACTAAACTCTCATCCATCTTTTCAGGATTTTTACTGGACTTCTTTCAATAATGCATTCTGATCAATCTTTTTTTCCAGGGTGGAAGAGCAAAGATGCTGTCCCCAAGTTGGTTTCAGATTTCATGCAGAAGAAATTCGTTTTGGATCCATTGATCACTCATACCATGCCTTTTGAGAAAATCAATGAAGGGCTGGATCTGCTCCGGGCAGGAAAAAGGTAATAATGCTCTTCTGTTTCTTTCTCTCTCTTTTTGCCCTGCATTTGCTATTTATTACTATCAGCTCTTCAAACTAGACCAGATTAGAACATCAAAGTCATGAAGGAGAATGCTGACAGAATCTTGCAAGTCTAAACGTGCTTCCTTCCTTTTATTTTCATGTGAATCAGGAATTCACTTGCCTAAAACATTTATCTGTGTTACATTCCTGGCTTGGACTCTATAGTTTCTTTTATCTGACAGTTTCCTTAGCAACAGCTCTTCCTCCAGGTCATTATCTCTGTCATCTACAATTACTCCTACTTGCTGCAGGATGGATACTAAAGAACAAGGAGAGAACAACAGAGTTGGAAGGGACCTTGGAGCAGAAGTGGGTTGTTCCCGGTTCGAGTGAACCGGTAATAGCGGTGGCGGGAGGCTCCACCCACCCGCCCGGATGCTTCTGTGCATGTGTAGAAGCTTCTGCGCGTGCGCAAGCACAAGCAAAACGGTAACACCAGGATTTGGAACCCACCTCTGCCTTGGAGGTCTTTTAGTCCAACTCCTGCTCGAGCAGGAGATCCTATACTATTTCAGACAAATGGTTGTCCAATCTCTTTTTAAAAACCTCCAGTGTTACACCTCCCACAACTTCTGGAGACAAGTCATTCCACTGATTAATTGTTCTAACCATCAGGAAATTTTGCCTTAGTTCTAGGTTGCTCCTCTCCTTGATTAGTTTCCATCCATTGCTTTTCCTGCTTTCAGGTGCTTTGGAGAGTAGGTTGGCCCCCTGTTCTTTGTGGAAATTCTTTGGGTATATTGAAACACTGCTATCATGTCACTCCTAGCCAGGACTGAATGATTCAATTTGAGTTGGTGACTGGGACCAGAGTTTTATTCTTCCAAGATTTCAGGCTTGTGCTGGGGCCCATCCTCGGGGAACTTCTCTCTCTAGAATGTATGCACTGGAATGTTCTAAATATTGTATTTATAAGGTGCCTGGCTGTGTGTGGTGTTTAGTTGTTCATTGGGGTGTTGATGGCCTGCTGTTAGGTCATTAATTGTTGTTTCCTTGTGGTGCTGCACCCTTGGCTCCTAAATACATGATAAGATGGTAGTAAATCAGCACTCCTATTGATTGACAAGGGACCCTGTTTCCCAGACTTCAGTCAGATGCCAGGATTGTAAATAGATCTTGAAAAAGATTGATTAAGAAATTGTCCCTGAACAGGCAGCATCAGAAGGACACAACCCCAAACAGCCAATGGCAGGGGAGAAGCTGAGCAAAAGGGATAAAAGCCTCCTTTCCCCACTTCCCCAACCTTTGGATTTCTCACCTTGGTTTGAGCATAACTAGCGAGGCATTTGAGGAAATAGCAAAGGGTGTGAAAGGAAATTAGGAAATTAGAAACCACCAACAGGCTATTACAAACACATAGATTCACCTTAGCACACAAGCTAACTAAAGCCCTTCAAGACATCCTAAGCAAACCAACTTGTGGTTTGAGCCACGGTGGCACAGTGGTTAGAGTGCAGCACTGCAGGCTACTTCTGCTGACTGCCGGCTGCCTGCAACTTGGCAGTTCGAGTCTCACCAGGCTCAAGGTTGACTCAGCCTTCCATCCTTCCAAGGTGGGTAAAATGAGGACCCAGATTGTTGGGGGCAATAGGCTGACCCTATAAACCTCTTAAGAGAGGGCTGTAATGCATTGTAAAGTGGTATATAAGTCTTGAGTGCAATTGCTATTGCTAGTGGGGACAACTAACTCCCACTTTTGGCAGTGAGAGCAAGTTGCTTTGGTAAGTCTCCTGCACTTGCCGGCAGCCACTGTTGCCCAACACTGCTCACATTTCACTGTTCATGCACCTGGTGTATCCTCCCACACTCTTCAAAAGAAACTGACCAGGCTGCCCACCTGCTTGCAAGCCGCCTGGGACCACTTGTAATTTCTTGACAGTTTCCCCACTGACTTTTGTTATTGGATGCTGGCAGGAAATTGCAAGGAGGTTCTCACTTCATCACCTGAAAATCTTGCTTAATGACAGCAGTGACGGCTGCGGAGATTGATATCACTAAGTGATGTGGTCAAGTGAGGTTGCACTTTATAATCACAGTTGCTTAGTGAGGGAAATTCCAGTCTCAATTGCCCTCTTACCTGTACACTTTGAAAGGAATGCCTTGGCAATAGAAAGACGTTAGAGTGAAATTGGCAGTTTCTGACACCAAGCTGACGCAAGTTGCTGGAAGATGTCTCAAAGATACTCTTTCAAAAGGCAACTGGACTATATTGTGGAAGAAGAAGATGTTTCACTTCTCATCCAATAAGCTTCATTAGTTCTGACTGGATGGTGAGGGAGGGGGATAAAAGGTGTACCGTATTTTTCAGAGCATAAGATGCACCTTCCCCCCTCCCCCCGGACACGGGATGCAGCCATTTTCGGCCTCCCGAAGCCCCAACCCCGCATTCCATTTTTGCGAAAAAAGGGTGAAAAACGAGCTGTTTTTCGCAAAAATGGGGGTGTTTTTGCCTTCCCCCAGTCACTAGCAGCACTCTGCAGGCTTTAGCACAGCTGGAGGAAGGCAAAAACACCTTTGTTTTTTTTTGCAAAAAATGGCCCATTTTCCACCTGTTCTTCACAAAAATTGGGGCATTTTTGCCTTCTCCCAGCCCTGCTGAAGCCTGCAGAATGCTTATGGGGGCCGGGGAGGACAAACACTTTTTTTTCTTACTTACCTCTTCGAACTCCTGGTGTGTCTTTACACCGGTGCATCTTAGAATTCAAAAAATATGGTAGTTTTGAAGGACAGAACTAATCCTTCTCTCCCCATCACCATCTAGTCAGAAATAATGGAGCTTCTTGGATGAGAAGGGAAACGTCTTCTTCTTCAAAGGAAAGACATTAATCCAGTTGCCTTTTGGGGGAAAACATTTTTGAGACAACCGTGATCTGCATGACTGAGAATCTCCATAGATATTTGCTGGAAGGTGCTAATTAACTAATTAAGGTCACAGGGGACCTTAGGGGAAGCATTGCCCTGCATGAAAAAACAATTTAGGAAGAGGTAGTTTGTTTAAGCAATCTCTCCCTTTGCAAGAAGGGAAGTTATGTGGAGAGTGGTAAAAAGGAAACAATTAGGTAAATAGTGACTGGACACACCTTAAATTCAGGAGTGAGATTTGCACATAGAATCTTAGATTTAATCTTCACATTAAATAAAATATGTTCGGGAAAGAAATGATACCATGAATAATATCTGTCAAGGAAGGATGAACAAAGCGTAAGGTGAATAAATTGTGTAATCTAGTAAAGGTGATTACTAAAAACAGAAAATACTTGGAGATATCTGGAGAAATTTCCATGGAACCTAAGGAATTTGCCCATCTCATTCCCAGAATGACTGTATAGTTAAGTACACAAATGAAACCATGTCTAGAACAGGTTGGATCACCACAGGAGTTCATGAAACACTAGTGGTACTCTTTAATGTTAAGAACAAAAGTCATATTTATCTTATTTCTCTGTTTCAGCATCCGGACTGTCTTAACATTTTAAATTGCTGAGGCGAAGAAAACCAATTACAGAATATTTTCTTAAATTGCTGATGTACCCTATCTGCAATTTTTATAATGACAACATGTGCTGTTATTTTGTCCTTTGACTTTATCTTCGTGGACCAAATGGATGTGGAAGAAACTCATTTTAGGGTGTTATGAGTACAATGTTTAAAAACATATATTCCTATTTGGCTAACTAGATTACTTTCCCCGGGTGTAGAAATACTGCTGTCTTATTTTCTAATCATGGATCTCTCTGTCCTCTAAATAAATCAATGCTGGTTTTAGATCTTTAAAATTGTCTTTGTTATGTAGGCACTTTTTCAAATAAAGAAATTTTGAATTATATATTAGGTATAGATTTGAATGTTCACAGAGGTAAGACACATTAGAATTATTAGTTAAATAAATTCTCTGAAATATATTTCTAATCATCAAAATATAATAAATTACCAAAAAAATCCCAAAATCAACTACACTTGTAGGCTATTAAATTAGAAATTTCCATTGGTATTGGTTATAAGTCTTCTGGATAGCTATCAACATAAATTAGGTTAGGGACAAATAGAATTAATTGCTATACAGGTAGTCCTCAACTTTCAACCATTTGTTTAGTCTGAGGTGTCTCAAACTCTACCATGATGACTTCATTCCCCAGCAATGTGAGGAGCCGCCACCACCTAAGTCCTCCTGGAAGCCGAGCTGAGTGGCAGTCCCGAAAGCCAAATGGCTCCTTTCCAGCCACCGTGATCTCTGCAGTGCAGCTACCGCTTCTGCCGGCTGGGCGGACAAAGGAAGTGGGTGGGCAGGGCAGGCATGGTGCGGATGGGCAGGGCAAGAGAGCAGTGACCGTGCGGGCAGGGGGAGTGAGCGGGCCCAGGCCAGGTGACCGCACTAGTGGGGAGGCATGGCCAGGCTGCCATGGCAATGGTACACTAAGGTACGGCCGATTTCTACTACCTATTTGGCCGTACCAGTCCGTACTGACAGAAACCCACCTCTGGTTTAATAGCTGTTCAAAGTTGCAATAGCACTAAAAAGGGGGGGACATGACCAGTTTTCACACTTACAGCCATTGCAGGATCCACAGTCACATGATCTAAATTCCGGCACTTGGCAACTAGCATGTATTTATGACAGTTCCATCGTCCCCGAATCATGGGAGCACCATTTGTAACCTTCCCACCTGGTTTCGGACAAGCAAAGTCAATGGGGGAAGCCAGAGTTGCTTAATGATCACATGAATCAATTAACAATTGTAATATTCGCTTAACAATTATGGCAACAAAGGTCATATAATGGAGCAAAACTCACTTAACAACTACCCTGCTTAGCCATGGAAATTTTAGGCTCAATTGTGTTAGCTAGTGTATGTTCTCAGTTCATATGAGATGATGATGATGAATGGATGGGCGGGTGGATAGATGAATCTTCCTGATAAAACTGAAACAAATTTATAAAACCCATAAAGACACAAAGCGAATCAGATACTTATTGATGGCCTATTCCCGTGATGGTGAACCTATGGAACATGTGCCACAAGTGGCACATGGAGCCCTCTCTGCAGTCATACAAACAATTGCCCCAGCCCAGCTCCACTGTGCATGTGTGTGTGCCTCCTGCCAGCCAGCTGATTTTCGGGTCTCTGCCACGCATGCGTAGGGGCAGGGTGCATGAGGGAGATGCACGTGCCAGGCCCAAAACGGGTTGGGGAGGTATGACACGCTCACCCCCACATCTCATTTTTGGTCCCAGGAGGCTTCAGGGAAGCCTGCTAGACCGAAAATGAGCTGCAGGAGGTCACACATGCATGGACAGGGGCGGGGGAGCATGGGGGGTTCACAGGGGTTGCATACACATGCCCAGGGGAGCAGGGTATGCAGGGGAGTGTTACACGTGCATTGCATTATGGGTATGGGCACGCATGCACTTTCATGCGCTCGTGCATGCTTTTAGCTTGCGACAACAAAAAGGTTAGCCATCACTGGCCTATTCTAAGCTATAAATCCTCTACTAAGGAGCTCAGTTTTTAAAATTTTCCTAAATGAAATTAATTTCATTTGGAAGACTGCCTAGAAAACTAATGTTGTTCCTGAAAGATAAGTATCTCCTAGCTTGACCCCTTTTACTTCCTGGAAGTGATGGACTATTAACTGTTTCTTCTCCCATGGCCCTCTGGTTGATCTGATTCCCATTAAAGTGTACAATCCATGTCCTGGCAAAATGTCAAGCCATGAACGGTATTATAAGTAAGAACTAGTACTTTAGATTCCAGCCAGAAGACTTTAGAAAGCAAATGCAGAGCTTAAAGCACAGCTGTTGCTTTCAAAACCAGGCACCATTTAACACAGAGACCACTGCCTTCTCTATGATCTTCAAAGTCATCCGCATTGTAGAGTATATTGCAATAACCCAACCAAGTAATAACAACAGCATGAGTAAGTGTTGCTAGATTTTCCTGCATCGGAAAGTATATTGCAATAGCTCAACCAAGTAACAACAAGCTCCGTGAGTAATTGTTGTTAGGTTTTCCTGCACTAAGAAATAGGGTGAGCTAAGAGTTCCCATCAATGGGAAACAGAACTGCCCACAAAGTCTGCAGAGCCACAGAGCTTCAAAAAAACCACTTGTCTCATGTTTCAAATAAATCAGTGCAAAGCAAAAGAGATCAAACTTCTGGGAAGCACTTGGCAAGCAAAAACGAAGGCCTCTCAGGTCCAGATTTGTGAATAGTGTTGAATGGGAATAGAAAAGAATACATGCACCAGATAGACAAAGAATCAAGATAAGTTCACCTCCATCTGCCAAGTACTGAAGGGCTATCCCAGAGGTGCTTTTTTTCAAGAGGCAACTGGACTTTCGCTTCACACACATTTAGTCACCACACTATAAAAAAAGATGTTGAGACTCCAGAAAAAGTGCAGAGAAGAGCAACCAGGATGAGTAGGAGACTGGAGGGTAAAACATATGAAGAAAGGTTGCAGGAACTGGGCATGGCTAGTCTAGTGAAGAGAAGGACCAGGGAAGACATGACAGCAGTGTTCCAATATTTGAGGGCCTACCACGGAGAGGAGGGGGTCAAGCTATTTTCCAAAACACCTGAAGGCCGGACAAGGAATAACGGATGGAAACTGACCAAGGAGAGATTCAACCTACAAATAAGGAGTAACTTTCTTACAGTGAGAACAATCAACCAATGGAACAGAAATTGCCTTTGGAAATTTTGGGAGCTTCATCACTGGAGGCTTTCAAGAAGAGATTGAGTGGCCATTTGTCAGAAATGGTTTAGGGTGTCCTGCTTGAGCGGGGGGTTGGATAGATGACCTATAAGGTCCCTTCCAACTCTGTTAATCTGTTCTTGGATGAGAAGTGAAACATCTTCAAACAAAAACTAGAAAGTCCAGTTGTCTCTTGAAAAAAGACTTTGGGACAACAATGTCATAGACGACTGAGAATCTATATAGACATTTATTGAAAGGCTGGCAAGATCCCATGAATATTTCAACATAATCTGGATTTGTACAACAGTTAAGTAAAGAAGCAAATATATATCGTATGTAATACAGTCTTCTGAAAGCATTGTGCAAGATGTTCTTCTATAAATCTATGATATAATAGGACTTAAAAGGTTTCTTTTTTCTTTCTTTTTTTTAAAGGGGGTTTCAATGTTGCTTTCATTCCTTAGAAATAGACTTCTACCCAGTTACAGGTTTCTTCCCTTCAAAGGCCATTTTTAACCACTTAACATTCTTACAATGCTCAGTGTTTCCAATGCAAAGTCAAGTTGATAGTGGTTACTCAAATGAATAAATTGCCTTGTTTGATTAGAAAAAATATATTGCCTATGTTTATTGGTGACTGGAAATCTCTTATGGAATTTTTGCCTAAAAATGAAAAACAAAATGAACTTGTGATTTATTGTTTTGATGGTTAGACAGGATATATTATCGAAAGAACAGTGATCTAACTTTAGAGAGAAATAAAATATATTTGTACTTACTGTAACACTGGAATAGCATAAGCCATTTCTTTATATTCATTTTGTTTCCTTTTGTTTTTCTTAACTTTTTTCTTTTTATGTACTTTTTGCTTTTTCTTTTATTTTTTTTCTTCCTTTATATTAGTTTCGGGCAGTGGTGGGGTTCAATTTTTTTTTTACTACTGGTTCTGTGGCCGGGACAGGGCTTGGAGGGTGGGGCTTGGTGGGTATGGTAGGGCAAAGATACTGCAAAATCCTCAGTCCCTCCCCACCCCACTAACCTGCTTTCCAGCTCCATTCTCCTGTGCAGAACAACAGAAGACCCAGCCGATCAGCTTGGACTTAGGAGGCAGCAAATAGATGGGGGCGGAGCCAGACAGAGGTGACATTTGCCAGTTCTCTGAACTACTCAAAAATTCCACTGCTGGTTCGCCAGAACCCGTCAGAACTGGCTGAATACCACCTCTGGTTTGGGGTTAGTTTTCATCTTCTGGTTTAATTATTTTTAAAATAAAAATTATGTACAAAAAAAAGCAGTGCTCAGAATTCCCCAGGAACCAACCAAGACTTCTTTCAACTGACTACTGTAATGGCAGAGAGTAAATTGGTTCTAGATCACAACTTGCCCATCCTTGACATTATCTTGCTACATTTGTTTTTGCAACAAGAATACAAGCCTGATCATTGCACGTTACCTGCAGATAGAGAACAAATCCTGGAAAAGAGGGTGAATCAGCAATTCCCACCATGTGAAATGAGCTTTTACTCAATTCAACTGCAGAAGAGAAGTTGAGCCGACTTGTAGCTACAGAGGAGAGTCACAGGTCCAATTCTGGATTAGCACAAATTAGTTCTGTAGAAGCAGAGGTGGGTATACAGCAGGTTCTGACCAGTTCTGGAGAACAAGTAGCAGAAATTTTGAGTAGTTCGGAGAACCGGCAAATACCACCTCTGACTGGCCCTGCCCCCATCCCCTGCCTCCCAAGTCCCAGCTGATCAGGAGAAAACGGGGATTTTGTAGTAACCTTCCCCTGGAGTGAGAAGGGAATGAAGATTTAACAGTATCCTCCCCTGCTGCACCAAGCCATGCCCACTAAGCCTTGCCATGCCCACCAAGTCATGCCCACAGAACCAGTAGTAAAAAAAATTGAATCCCACCACTGTGTAGAAGGGATATCCGTTATTATTTTCTTAAAAGAAAATGTATAGCCAGGTTTTCAACTAGTTCAGCTTTTTCAACACAGACGGTCTGTGTGGGAATCTAGGGAGATGCATTCCCAGTAGCTGTTGAAATGACCATGATGAGGATTTCTA